CCCTCTTTTTTCTGTATTTTCTCGTTCGCTATTTATAGGGTTGGGATTTTAGGTTGCTGTTACGATTTGAGCTGGCTTATATTAGGGATTTGTAGAACATATTTAGGGATTTCCGAATCTGTTGTAATTGATTCTATAATATGAATGTAATAAAGATTTTGTTTCTGTAATTTTTGGATTTGATTCTGTTAAACATTGATTTTCAGATTTGATAATGTTTTGTAATATGTTGATTATATTATATTCTCTTACTGTAAAAAGAAATATGGGATTTAGATTTGATTGTTGTTTTAATTTCTACAGTTCCTGTTGTTGCCATAAATCCTGCGTAATTCCTTATTGATTCAAACAATAATAGTTTTTAATTCAGTTTGGGCCTGCCCATAAGATTTATGGGCCTTGCAATTTTTTTTAAAAATTGAGTTGGGCTTTGTACTATATATTTGAATTGGGCCTTGTACTGTTTTAGGTCTGTTTTGCAGTCCAACTTGCGTAATCAAAGATGGGCCCTTCTTACTTTATGTAGATCCAATAGTTCTCTCTTCTAACAACAATAAGACTTTAATAAATAAATTATAAAAGTAACATTTAACAAAATATTGTTGTAATAAGAAGTTTACCAGTCAATAAAATAATATATTACATTTTCTCCTAAAAATTATTTGTTATCTCTTTTATAATAAAAAGTTTTAACAATAATATCCCCCTCCTTTTTTTTTAAATCAGCAATAATATAAGACCACAAATGCGCTAGTTTTATTAAAACCTTAATGGGTCTATAAGTTGATAATATACCTCATATTTTACTAACAACAATTAACAAACTTAATATCTCAATTTCACTAGCAAATTAAACCTAGACAGTTCTTAATAAATTAATAGTTTACTAATTACTCGGGTGATTTTTTTTTATTTTTGAATTGCATGGGCCCACAGGCCAACATGCTTTACGGATGGATTCACGGATACATGAGTCTCTCTGATTCAGATAGCCTCATTTTCCTAAATTGAAATACACCCCTGATCGACTTAAATATTAAGAATGGACCATCAGATATTGTTGTACCATCCTCAGTTAAACGCTTCTTTATTATTCTGATCTTGGAAGATAAAATCATCGGGGTAGGACAAATTTGGGTTACGACAGTATTGAGGGGGAGTTCCTACTATTCTGAAAAGATGTCAGACATGATGTCTTAACATCATGGTTTTGAGAACTTAGGTTCTTTATTTTTGTTACAGTCGTGTTAGTAGATCAACTAACTACTTAATTATCTGATGTGTGTGCTGCTAATTTATGTACTGCTAACCTTGCTTTTTTTTCCGCTGTTATATCACTGATGCGTGTGTTTGGTTTATTTTCAAGCATACTTTATGTTGTTTTTCTTGAGCAACAATTATTTGGGTGTTTTAGCCAAAATGTGCCAAAGGGGGAGATTATTATTTCTCTGAAATTATAATTGGTATACATTTTGGTAAAACCAATATGGGAGCAACATGTTGAATAAGATGTTCCAACTTTCAATTTTCAACATGTCGAGTAAGATGTCACAATCAGAAGATAGGACACCGCATCTGCTGCAGCTGTTAGTGATGTTTTAGCTGATTTATAAGTCATTGAATAATGGGAGAATATTCAGTAAGCTTATGTGGCATCTAAGATTGACAAATCAGAATAGTTTATGTTGATTTTCGAAGATCTGCATGGTTTCTAAATATGGAGATAATTTAGGAATCTAATGATTGAAGACCTATTTTCTTGGAGAATATTTTGTAGACTTTGTGCATCTCACTGCTGCGGTTTTGAAGCCCAACCTATTCTAGAATAATGTTATAAATTGACTGGTGTATACCTAATATTAGGTTGAACTTACGTGTGTATCTCGTTAGTGTTTTAGAATCCTTATTGTTGGGTTGTAAGTTATGTGTCAGATGTTCATAAGCTTTTAAGCATTGAATATTTGTGTGTTAGATGCTCATAAGCAGTTAAGTATTGAGTATTTGTGTGTCAACTCTCATAAGCTTTTAAGTATTGAGTTTTGTGTGTCTTAGAAGAGTGACTTCTGGTTTTGTTATCTACTTGTGTTTAGAGTTGCTCCAATTGCTAAATATAATTGAAGAGGGATTTGAGGAGGGCCTCATACCTAGGTGTGTCTTAGGTAGAAGTTAATACCTAGGTGTGTCTTAGATAGAAGTTAAGTAAATGGTAGTGATTAAGTGCATAGGCTGTAAACTGGGATGTTTGATGCGAGGTCTACAAATTGATACTATCTAGTTAATTTTGTCTCCGGCTTGGTAGCCCCCAGAGTATGAAGATTGTTTCGAATTGGGTAAACATATCTTGTGTTATCTATTTTCAATACTGTTTATTTTATTTATCCATCTCGTTGTTGTATGTTGAAGTCAGATCCGGTGTCTCCACATCTCTTAGGACATCTGGAATCCAACAACCAGAATTTCAATGTGGTTTTTTTAAAACAAATAAAACATGTCGCACCTTTAGATTATACCTCGTTTTTTATTGGATGGGGTGAAAACTGTCATAAAATGTAATATATATATAGTAGTGTATGATTTTAGTTTATTTTATAACTAAGTAATTCATTTAAAATTTACAAGTATATTTAAATATATTTTGATACTATATCAAATAAGCGCACAAATATTTTACTAGTTAAGAAAAAAACAAAAAAACAAAATGAAAAATCCAAAAAATTATATATATATATATATATATATATATATATATATATATATATATATATATATATATATATATATATATATATATATATATATATATATATATATATATATATATATATATATATATATATATATATATATATATATATATATATATATATATATATATATATATATATATATAATAATAATAATAATATTAATAATAATAATAATAATAATAATAATAATAATAATAATAGATGATTTCATATTAAGGTATTATACACATGAAAGAAAAATATATAAAATTAAAATTAAAAATTAAGAGGAAAAATAAATATGTGAGAAAATTAACAATTCCAAAAATAAACAAAATTTTAATTGACAATGCTATTATCTTTTTAATTTGTTTTAGAACAAGAAACAATAAAATATATTTCTATAATAGATTTGATATTATAAAAACACATAAGAAATAAAATAAAATAAGAAGCTAAAAAGAAAATAAATATGAGACAAAATTAACACATTAAAAAAAATTACAATAGGTAAGTGTCTAAAAATAAAATTATAAATAAAAAAGAAAATAAACATGAGACAAAATTAAGAAATCCAAAAAAAAAAATTTTTAATTGACAATTCTATTATCTTTTTAATTTGTAGAACAAGAAAAAATAACAGATATTTTTTATAATAGATTTCATATTTAAAAAATAGACATATGAAATAAAACTAACAAAAATAAAATTAAAAATTAAAAAGGAAATAATTATGAGACAAAATTACCATATCCAAAAATAAAAAACTTTACAATAGGTAGTGTCTAAAAATAAAATTAGAAATTAAGAAGAAAATAAATATGAGACAAAATTAGCAAATCCAAAAAATAAATATTTTTTAATTGACAATGCTATTATCTTTATAATTTGTTTTAGAACAAGATAAAATAGAAAATATTTTCTATAATATATTTCATATTTAAAAATAGACATATGAAATAAACCAAAATAAAAGAAGAAACTAAAAAGAAAATAAATATTAGGCAAAATTAACAAATCCAAAAATAAAAAACTTTACTATTGGTGGTATCTTATGCTTTAAAATTTATTTAGAACAAGAAAAAGTAAAAGACATTTTTTATAATAGATTTTTTTATAGAAAAATTATTAAATAAAAAAACAAAATTTATTCTAGACGATTCCATGTTTTAAAAAATAGACATATGAAAGAAAGTTAACCATAATAAAATTAGAAATTAAGTAGAAAACAAATATGAGGGAAAATCAACAATAAAAAAATAAACAACTTTATAATAGGCAGTGTTATTTTCTTTACATTTATTTTTAGAACTATAAAAAACAGCATATCTTTTCTTTCTAATGATAAATGATATCATATTAAAAATTGATATATTAAAGAAAATTGACCAAAAATAAAATCGTAAATTAGGAAGAAAATAAATATTAAACAAAATTAACAAATCCAAAAATGAAAAACTTTATAATCGGTACTAATATTTTATTTTCTTAAAAAAAAGATATTTTATTTCCAATAATAAATGATTTTAAATCTAGAAATAAATGACACATAAAAAATAGTCAAAATAAAATCTGAAATTAAGAAAAAATAAAAAAAGGAGGCAAAATTAAAAAAAATCAAACATTAACAATTTAAAAAATTAGATAGTATTTTTCTTTTCAATTTTTTTAAATTAAAAAAAAAAGTATCCATAATTAACAAAAAATAATAGATGAATTAAAAAAACATGAATAAACTAAAATATAATATCATAGAAAAAAAGAGACAAGTAAGAAAATAAAAAATATATTTTTTATTTAGAAAATTGACTAAATAAAAATGAAAAACAATCATTATTTCATTCTGATTTGGCTTCTATAGATCTAAGAAAAAGAAAATTAAAAGAATATGAACAATCATTATCTTTTTACCCCCTTCTAGAATGAATGAAGATTCATGCATATCTTTTTATTCCCCTTCTAAAATTAATTAATTAATTTTTTATTTAAAAAAAATGAATGAACTAAAATTAATATTTCTCTTACATTTTTTGAAATAAAAAACCTTATTCACCTAAAACCCTACTCATAAATATTTTTTAATAAAAAAAATTATGCATACCGTTGTGAAATATGTATTTTAACTTTTTTAAGAAATATTAAAAAATATAGAATTTCAATTTTCAACCATTTAAACATTTCTCTAGAACCTTTTCTCTTTTCTTGTTTTTCACCTTTCGCTCACAAAACCAAAAGTTTGCACCTTTTTCAAATTTCACTCTCTCTGTCTTCGAAATGGTCGCCGGCGAAGGACCAAACGGCGGTGGAAGCAAGCCATGGCAGGAGGACATTTACTGGACCCATTTCCAGTTCATCCATTTCACCCAATTTCTGCACGACGATTTTCAACAACAGCTTGTAAGTAAACATACCCTTTTCATCTTTTCATGCTCTTCATCAAATAAAAATCAAATCTTTCTTAACTTTTCGTATCTGGGTGTTGTTGGGTTTTTGAGAAAATGCACTTCATTTTATATTCAAACTATTTTCACCTTCTTTTTATTTTATTTAATTTTTAATTTTTAATTTTTTTGCTTTTTTTTACTTGCCCATCTTTTAATTTTGTGTTTTTGTACAGTTTCTTTAACTACAGTTCGTTCTTTTGAAGAAAGTTTTAAGCTTTTGATTATTAGATTAGCCGTTAGGTTTTCCCCTTTTTTTGCCATGATTATTGTATTTATGTATTATGGATATGCTTGTTTTGAAATAATGGTTTAGGAACTGTGACATTAGCTGTAGATCTGTTTTTTTTCTCTCTGTCTTTTTAGGTTTGACTTTGTTTTGAGTTTGCATTGCAATAAAATCATGCTTTTGTGGCTATAAAAGACAAGAAAATCATGCTTTTGAGATTGGAGTGTACTTTTCTTTTCCTAGTTTGGTTAACATTATCTATGTAAATCATGTACATTGACACTGACATTCACAAGTCGACACCGATAATAATGAAAAAAATAATAAATTAAACGTAATCACAAATGTCAGAGTCAGTTTCAGACATTAACACTGATATGGACACCTTTTTTCAAAAGTGTCGGTGCTATATAGTTAATGGTTGTTTCTCAAGCTAATAATTATGTTTAGCTCTTAGGTAGGTAAATATATTCTACTGATATCTCTTAGATTCTTCAGCTTGATGTTTCTTAATCTCAAATGGAAATTTATACTTTTGTTGCAGGCACTTCCTAAAACATTTTCTGACAATTTAAAGAAGAAATTGCCAGAAAATGTGGTCCTTAAAGGTCCTAGTGGAGTTGTGTGGAATATAGGGCTGGTAATTAGAGATGATTCTGTTTACTTTGTGAACGGTTGGGAACGATTTGTGAAGGATCACTCTTTGAAAGAGAATGATTTCCTTGTCTTTAAGTACAATGGTGAATCACTCTTTGAGGTTTTAGTCTTTGATGGAAACAGTTTCTGTGAGAAGGCAGCTTCTTATTTTGTTGGAAAATGCGGACCTGCTCAAACTGAACAAGGTGGTAGCAAGGCAAAGGACAACAGCAATTCTGTTGAAGAAGTCAATACTGCTTCTAATGGGGGTGTTACTGTTGAGTGTGGTTCAACTGAGAAACTTCGGCATCTTAAGAAAGTAGGAGCACCATTAGCTGTACCTTTTGAAACTGCCAACGGAAAGACTTCCAATGCTGGCGTAAGAACTGATTCCCCTGAGCTGTTCGCGGCGGATGCAGCCACTAAGACCACACCTGTAGTAGTTCCCTTCCAATCAGCTGGAAAAAGGCCTAAGAAGCCTGTTAATGAAGTTACGCCTGTCGTCCATACTAAGAAGCGAGGAAGACCACCTAAAGTAGATAGTTCTTCCGAGACAATACGTGATTTGGTGGCTTATAGCAGGGAACACTCAGGTTAAGATATTTCTTTCTTTTTCACTAATTTTTACTATATTAATTTTAAATTATTTAGTTACTAAAACTTTCTGATGTCATGATTTTTTTGTGCTGCATATGGCTTACTATGAAGTTAGTAAAAGCTTTAGAAGATAACTCAATGTTCATTGTTCAGACTGGTTCCCCCCCCCCCCCCCCCCCCCCCCCTCTCTCATTTATTATGGTCCTAAGCATGTTAATATCTTACAATGTTCAAAATTCCTATCTAGATTCAATACTAAATTGAACCCTAGGTTGTCAATAGCACACTATAGCGTGTAGCGTAGCGGCACGACCCCTCACTGCTACGCTATTGACTTGCGAAGCGCTATGACAATAGCGGTCATAGCTGCCACAAATAGCGGTCATAGCTGCCACGAATAGCGGTGTTGTAGCGGCGCAATAGCAGTGCCATAACGGTTTGTTGGCCGCTATTCTCTTTTTGGGTGCAAATTTGTAACCCATTTTTTAAGGGTATCTTGGTTTTTTTATTGCTTCTTCAATTCCTGTTTTCCACTATTCTTCGATCATCAATGTTCTTCACAAATCTCCCCTGTTCTTCGCCGTTCTAGCCGTACTCCCTTTCGTTCTCCCCTGCCTTGCCGTTTTAAACTGTTCTCCCTTGCCTTCTCCTTTTGTTCTGTTTGCGTTGCTTTGTTTCAATTTTAATAACAACCATGTCGTCGTCATCCTATGCCTCTCCAAATGTAACACCAACTTCCAGCAACAAAAGTTGTTTTAAACCTATTGGTGACAACTTTGATATTGATTGGAATGTATGATGTTGGAGTTTATATTTCACAATAGTGGTCATCCCATTTTCTGCTCTATCGACTATGCCGCTATAGCATTTTGGGGGTCCGGCGCCTTGCGCCGCTATCCGAGATTAACAACCTAGTATGTCACTTGTTTTTACTTAAAAATGACAACTTTTTGATAGGGCATGGCCTGAGTGACAAAGGGAATAAGCTCAAAGCAGAGAGTTTATGTGAGGAGAAATAAGAAAAGAGAGAATGCAAGTAGAGAAAGTGAGACTTAATGGGGGATTCGGTTATGTGAGTCGGGTGTTGTAAAGAGAGAGAGAGAGGGTATCATGGAAGAATCATTGTTTTGTTTGGCCAAAAAATTGTATGTCGTCTCTAGGTAGAGCATCTCATTTGGCAGTAGGTATTTATCCCTTCTGCATGTCTTTTTTATTTGTCAATAAATACTCACATCACATCCCATTTGCAATTCTCAAGTTCTCTTTAAATTCCCGCTTCTGTTATTTCAGACCATTAAACTGAGAGGGAGAGTTCAAGGAGTTCCCATTCTCTTGTTGGTGGATAGTGGTGCAACCAACAACTTTATTTCTATGAAACTAGTCACTGCAATGGGACAGGCAGCGCAGGAGGCAGTGAAGATTGGTCCTCTTGTGTTTGATTTGGATGAAGTGGATATAGAGAGAGTTGGGTATGATTTGGCTAAACTCAATTGGAGCCATGTGGGTAGATTGGCTTCAGAGATATTTTAAAGTTGTTAATAGGATTGAAGCACTACTTCGATTAATAGATTGCTCTAAATCTATCGGGTCTAATTAATGAGCCAATTACAATTACTACAAATAATTACAAATTTCCATTATTTACAACCGTCCCACTCTAGCCAAGGAATGGTTATCATTTCCAGTTGACAAGTAAGTTGATTGAATTGTTTTGTTGTTGGTTGGTTCTTTGTCAGCAGAATTGTTTTGTTGTTGGTTGGTTCTTTGTCAGCACATCTAATGATTAAATCCCATAAGAAATGTAAGATGTAGTTATCCAACAATTGTCCAACTTTTCTTTAATGAAGTGTCGATCAATTTCTATATGTTTTGCCCTGTTATATTGAAAATGATTATGAGCAATGCGGATAGTTGATTTATTGTCACAAATAACTTCAAGTCTTTTGCATTGCATCTTAAAATAATTCAGTACCATCTTCACCTATAAGAGCTTACACATTCCTCGTGCCATAGCTCTAAATTCATTCCAATGTTTCATTGGGTTTTCCCAATAATCTCCCACTCTTAGACTCTATTAATAATCAAAAACTCTACTAATAAGTTTTCTATGAGTAGCCTTCTCTCGGTCAAATCATCTCCCACTCTTATGCTTTTGTCTAGAATAATCTGCCATAGTCAAAGTGCTTTCTCAACTCCAGTGATCCTAGTGAAGAAGTAGTATGGAACATGCTATATGTGAGTGAATTGTAGGGCTTTATTTAAGTTGACAATACCTAATAAGTTCTCAATTCTTGCATTGGAGGAGCTTTTGGATGAGTATAACCATGTAAAGGCGTCAGGAAGATTAGCACAAGCATGACTGCCTTCAAGACTCACAAAGGAGACTTAGAATACCTTGAGTCCTTTTGAATTGATCAACGACCCATCAACTTTTCAAGCTATCATGAATGACCTTGTCAAGGCTGTTGAGAATAAAAAGTGAGTTGGGAACTTTGAGAAACAAAGTGTAGGAAAGTCTCACATTGATTAGAAAAGTGAAAATTTGAGCATTTATTAGTGAGAGAACCCACACACCTATCACTTTAAGGTTTTGGATGAGTATGTTATGTGTTTCTCACAAATGTGTGTTGCTCATAAAAGAAAAAACCTCGACATAAATGCTCCCTCATGTTGAACCTCCAAATCAATATTCCAACAGTGGTATCAGAGTCTGGTTCGAGTGAAGGACCAACTCACATGTATCGAAAGTACTCCCCACATGGTGGTGGGTATGAGGTGTTCCGTTGAAGACAAGTGTATGTGGATGAAAGAATTTCCGCTTGAGGGAGAGCATTGTGGATAGACTCACACTTGAGGGAGAGTGTTGAGAATAACAAGTGTGAGTTGAAAACTTTGAGAAATAAAATGTAGGGAAGTCCCACATTGATTAGAAAAGTGGAGACTTCAGATAATTCACACACCTATCACCTTAAGGTTTCAGGTGAGTATGTGGTGTGTTTCTCACAAATGTTTGTTGCTCATAAAATCAATATTTCAACAGAGCCTATGTTGTGTTAGCTCATATTGGTTTTATTTGATAATACTTTGGTGTATAGTCATACTTGGGAAGAATATTTCAAACACTTGAAGTTCGATTTTGCAAGTACTTGTTCATCACTAATCGACCGCCAACAAGGAAAAAACATGCCTTTTAGGTTAATTAACATTAGTTTTTGGGCATCATTCAAAAGAGGGATTCAAATGACTTGTGTAGGAGTGTGAAAGGAGTTGGGGTTTTCCTAGGGTTAATCAAGAATTGATCTCGATCTTTATCGTAAATAATTTACTTTCCTAAAATAGGTTTGATAAATTAGACAAGTGAATATTTGTCATTATGAATTGTAATTACGCATAATCATTAATACTATTATATAAAGTATGTGATGCAATAGAGAAAAGATGAAACCCTATTTCTTGACATGGTATCAACTTGGTCTATCAATACAATGTGGGTTTCCATCATGATTTTGCTGTGCAACTCCTTCCGTGGTCGAGATTATGGGTAGCGATTCTGTCTTTGTTGTTGCAATTGTGAATCTTGATCGGATCATGATCACGATCCTTCATTCTCACTACTGTGATTTTATGTTTTAGTTTGATTCACGTTGTTGCTTGTGGTAAATTTGGGTCCGCTGCTTGTGGTTCTTTGTATTGCTCGTGAATCTTTTTTTTTTTTTTTTGTGGTTCTTTGCCATTTGTGTTCTTGCATTTGCTCTTTGCAATTCGTGTTATAGGTTTATTGTTCTATCTTAGTCGTCTTAGAATTTGATTGGAGGCTAACTCAACTTCCAAAATCAATTTGTAAGATAAGGATTGTCCCCGCTCATAAATAATATATTAGCATATCTTATCAAATGTAGTACTTTTAACACCCTTTTACGCCCAATAACTGAACATCTATAGTGTGACCATAGTGACCTGATAATAGAAACTTGATAGCAGGTGACCCACCAAATTTTGGATATGCTTTGATATCATCTTAGATTTATAGATTGACCCTTAATATATGTTTAAGCCATATTTCATCTAATGTGCAACATTTAATACAACCCCTTCACGCCCAGTATTAGATATCTGGGGCGTGACCTGAGTAGGCAGATAGCGGAAACTGATAAGAGATGGCCCAATACATCTTAGAATTTGAGTTGAGTTTGACTCAACCGTACAAAATGAACTTATAATAAGGTGATTATTGCCCCCTTATTTTATATACGTTCATGCCATACTTTATTCGTTGGAGACTCTTAACAACTTGTTTCTAATTGGTTGGTTAATATTTGAAGGTTATGCGTTGAATTAGTACATTGCTGGCTTACTTTTTCATATTGCTTTGGTTTACACTTTGGAGACATGTGACACTTGGATGCTGTCTCTAAGGCGTCGACAAAGAAAGTTGATTTAGATGTGCGGAAAATGAAAGATGCTTATCACTTGGACTTAGTACTATAGATCCTCAATTGATTAATAATTTGCGCTCTTTTTTTACTGCTTAAGAAATGTGGAACTATTTGAAGCGTATTTGCAATTAGGATAATACAACCAAATGTTTTCAATTGGAGCTAGAGATAGTCAATAACAAACAAGGTAGTTTATGCGTTCAAGAATATTATTTTGATTTTTTGAATCTTTGGCCAGAACATTCTCACTTACACGTGTTATTTTTCAAAACTCTTGTCTTGTGGTTGTCCAAAAAGTCTACAACACTAGTAGTTGATTAATTTCTCATGAAGCTTTTTCCGAAACTTGAGATTGTCAGAGGTGCTTTGCTAAATAGGAACCTCATTCCTTCTTTGGATATTTCTGTTGACAAACATACTCAAGAGGGACAACTCCTTACTCAATGAATCATATCTCATGAAGATGTCATTTTCGAGTCTTGTAGTTATTGCAAACAGTAGGGTCAAATCATCTCTGACTGATCTGTGCATCCTTCTCAGCCAACATAACATCCGATGCA